GTGGGATTGAACATTGATTGCATCAAGTTCAAATTTATCAGCAGCATTATAATTTTCGAAGGTGGGTTGATCATAATGATCACCAAACTCTCCAGCATAAGAGCGAGTGTTTGGATCGTAGGAACCCTCAGGGACTTCCTCGATACAAGTGGCACCAACTGCTTCAGCACCTTCTACTTCAAGATTATTGGCTCGGGCCTTGCCCTTGCCTCGGCGACGGTTTTGGCCTCGGCCACGAGAACCAGAACCTTGCTGCTGTTGTTGTGGAGTATAGGGAGTGTAACCTCCACGTCCACGTCCACGACCTCCACGACCTCTTCTGCGACCTCCATGGTAACCGCGAAAGGATCCTGATCCTGATCCAGATTGATGATTGGAAGTATTATGACCACCTCTGCAAATTTGGCAAAGAGGCAGTTTATTCATACGTGCCAGAAGAGAATTTGATTCTTGTTTAACCTGGGTAGATGAAGATCCAGATTTATCCTGTTGTGGAAGCATAGTTTTGCCCGATTTATGAGCCCAGACTTCTTTCATGCGAGGTATAACAGTATCAGGAGAAAGTTGATCAGGCGGCAATAGAAGATAATATATTGACTGGGTGCTTGTTCCCAAGCTTGAGTCATCGAATGAACCAGAATGAGTGCCTTCATTTTATTATTCAGGGTAATACCCTGGGCACTAATGGCAGCGAGAAGCATATTGATCTCAGCGATTTTAGCCATTATATCATCCTTTGGTTTGATTTGAATTCAGATAAGTCGTTGGAATTCCATAAAAGTCATCATAGCAGACGGAGTTCCATAGGAGTTATTTAAAGCAGCCCACTTTTCATGTGAGGTTGCTAACCCATCAATTGACATTGCAATCATTGGATCGCAATAAAGAGTAAGAATGCCTTGGGCACAAGTGTCAGAGGTAACCCAGGCAGCAATGTCTGCAGGCAGCAGCACCAGCAGCAGGTCTTGCAATAGTGCCAGTCAACGATTCCCATAATACTGAGTGTTTGCATGTAAGCCTTCATAAGAACCAACCAAGAGGCATAATTCAAGCCATTAAGCTTGGGGATCTGCTTGGAAAGACCTTCGGACATCTAGTGTCAAAAGTCCATAAGCAGATGTTCGTACAAGAACGAGTGAGTCAGATGAGTTTTAATGGATGGAGGATTGAGTTCATGAATCCGATTCCTTTTGGGCCTGCGAGCGGATGCTCTAGCAGCCTGAGATGGACGGCGCCGATGGGAACATTGGTTTTTGAAATAAGGACGAGGGTTTCTTCGCTTTTCCATCTTTGTTTTTGGAGCCATAGTACCTTTCTCTGCGAATCTCCAGGATGAGATGCGAGAATTATTGCGCTCTAGACTTAAAAAGTCTAGTGGAGGAAAATAATGGTAGCTCATAAAGCTCCAGTTGCAATCATTCAACGGTATTCCATCTGAACGAAATCCCAAGTAGGGATCAGCGCAAGAATATGGTACATTTATGGCGGGAGAGTAGCAAAAATGTTTGTCCTTTACTAACATTTCGAGACAATTGTAAGACTCGTATAGTACACAAGTATTAGTTTCCCAATGGTTTCGGCCGCCTGATACGTACGGTGCGTCCAGCGAGTTTGGAAGAGGATAACTTTTGTCGTATGGCACAAGCTTCACGAGCTCGGCTAAGAGCAGTGGTGCGAATTCCATGAGGTCGGGGTTCTGCGAGATAATCAAAAGTAGAGTCGTCCATGACACGTTCGAGATCGCGTAAAACCTCCTCTGATCCAGGCCAGTAAGCGAATCCTGCGTTAGCGGGGTCTGGACCCCATGAAAGATGCCAGTTAACAGCGTTATATCGCAGGGAAGTTCCCATATCTGCTTCATCCCTATACCGTCAAATAGACCTAAAAAGGTTGCTATCAAACCTGTCTCCTCCGTGTCTCCATTCTCGAAACCACCCTGGGATACAGGCAATGTCGGTGCTTCCGTCAACCCAAGTTCCTCTGAAATGGAATTCAAGATGCTGGTTCCAAAGGCAGAGAGGAGGGATGACGCTGTTGAAGCATGGATCGTAGAGTGGGTGAACGTTGTAGTAGACATAGACAAACATATCGTGGGTGATCAAGAAGGCCAGAACAGTGTCGAGGGAAGGATCTTCATAGTAAGCTGAAGGAAGATCGCAACCATTGAAGTTAGCGATGGCATGAGGAGTCGAGGTATGGGAAAGTTTAGGGAAGAAATCAGTAAGATAGCCATGGAAAGCTAAATGGAGACCCGGATAGAAGAATGGCGATTCGAACCCTGGAAAGTGGGGCATTTGTTGCCACACTGTTTCCACGGTGTCAATTGGAACGAGATAAGTCGCAGGGTTTGGCTTCTTAAAGAAAGCCACTGACAAAGGAACCGCTTCTCTCCAACTTGCACAGTCGCGTACATATAACATCTCGGTATATTCTATGATCTCCTTCACCGCATACTTCTGCCACTTCACTTCATACATCCCGTCATGTTGCTCAGCAATAGCAAGCTCAAGTTTCTTGGCGACGACCAAAGACATCTTGTGTTAAGACCATAGATTAGTTCCCGTAACTTTGAGAAACAGTCACGAACGAATTATAATAAATTGAACTCTGCATTATCGTCAGGGACGACAGTGAGAACGAGCTCGGGGTCGAGCAACTCGTTCAGTGCCTGGACTTCCTCTGGAAGAGGAGTCGGTGCATGACGTGGAGCAGGTGCATCAGCAGCCTGAACCTCATCATACAGTGGAACGGGATCTAGGTCAGCGTCGAAGTCGATGTCGGGAAGATGAAAGTGGAGATAGTGTGGGGGCAGAGTTGGAGGATGAAGAATGAGTCACTGAAGTAGCGCTCTGCGCAGTATCTGCTCTTGCAGCAGAAGCTGTCACCTTCGCCACCAAGTGGAGAGACCTAGAAAAGAAAGCCAAAAGGCTACTGAGCGTACAAACAGCTCGTGTAGATGAATCAGATCATAACCACCATAATGCAATAAAAGTACCACCTGGTTTAGACCAGTGGCAAGCGACATGGTGAAGACTACTACTACCATTCCTAGCGCATCTAGGCCTATGACATCCATCGTGATTTGCCCGTCAGCAGTGATCGCTTGATGCAAATGCGTAAATAGCTAACCACCTAGACTAGGCGGGGCTCATAACCTATTGCGCAGAGGAATGGGAGAAACGAAGAGCAATAAGGCACAAACACTTGCCTTGTGTTAGAATGGTAGTAGCGTTTGAAAGCAACTTGTAGTTGAGGGGCTCAGTTGTCGAGTAGACAAGTGAAGAACGAATGTGGAATTCAATAGGGACTTAGGACAAAAGTCCCAAGTTTATATACATGAGTAGGTACACACGGACCAGTAGCGTAAAAGGAAACTACTACTCAGTATAGTAAAGAATAACATGGAAGGTCATGGAATATGATGTATAACATGATGTCTGTTATGATGTCACTATGACATCATTGTGGAGCCAATGACTGACCCAAGTCATGTGATGGACAACGTGTTGAACACGTGTAGTTCTGGAATGATCTAGACGTCGGAACTATTAGGAATATTTCCAACATATTCATCCTTCGAGGTTCAGCCCTTCTGATGACACCATTCTTATCTGGGCAGCAGGTCGATTTTTCATCTACAACTATCCGACAATTCTGTCGGCAAGTGCATAGTTGGCACAGAACCCTACCCCCTTCCAGCTCCGCAGTACACGCCATTGAGATCAAGGTTGCGGAGACCGTAAAAGCCAAGACCGATGTGAAAGATTTGGAAGGAGGGGGCCGGCGGTTGCGTACTTTCACCCATCTCTCCTTCGATCATGCAATAGCGGCGAGAAGGCCTTGTTTCGGGTTTCGAGTGTTGACTACCGATTCTGGTATTCCGGTGTGGCGTGTTCTGGTTGTCTATCCCAAAGCGACCTATTGCTCCATTCGTTGGAGGTGACAAGGAGCTGACTATCTATGACCGGTGGACCAGTGCGTCACTTTCAGTATCCGAAATTTCAGACTTAGGCGCTGTAGCTAGAACTGGGGCGAAGTTACGGGCCTGCCTATGGGGAGGTATTGCAGTCCTGTCGTACCTGGCGGATATACCCCTGAGCCCCCGACATTCTATTGCCTTCATTACAGTGGTTTGCGAAAATAATGTTAGTTAGCGAAATATTTGTCAGCGCGTCGTGAGCCCTTCCCGATATGGGAATGTAGGAATGTGTGCGTTCATCGCAGAATTCATTTGTCTACATACTACTAGCGATGGCCGAACTACATCATGTACTCACGAGATGGCGCAGTAAACAACATGTGCTGCAACGTACCTACCCATTCACTGTTATTGCGGCACATAGTATCTATCATCTCGAACAAACGCGTCCTTTAGCTGTGCACAGTGACTATGTCCTGGTCTTCTGTGGTGCTGGGCGAGCGTACGCTCGTTCTTACCCGTTTCGTCAACGACCGCGAGTGCCGACCCGTCGCCAGTGAGATTTTCGTGAGTCGGAGTGACGCCGGTAGTTAGTCTCACTAGTGTTTTCATGCCAGCTTGGTATGTTTCCTTGTTGGGCGGAGCTCACGACGCGCTCACAAATATTTTGCTAACTGACATTATTTTCGCAAACCGCTGTAATGCGGGTGGAGAAGTTCACACAGGTAACGTTGTGCCACTGCCCCATACAGGCACCAGCCAGGTCGGCGGTGAGATTGCCCTCCCAGCAGAAAACGGTTCGTCCTATATTATAGAAGTCGAAGGTGTCGAGAAGATCTCCAATATGATCGACCCCGGTCATGAGACAACTCAAACTTAATTTCGTAAGCTACTTGTCCTTGTTCAGGAGCTCAACAGGGTGTTCACAGTACTTGTATCATTCCCATGATGCGGATGAATTGGGGTCGCCACGCGGCGGAACAACTCGCGGAAGGTTCAAATCCTACAGACGATTCGTTATTCTCTTACGCTGTTCAGGGTACGGACTTCGTTAACTTCCTTCAGGTTGACTGTGCCCTGAACATCTAGGCTTGGTCTGCTCAAGTCGCAAGGCCCTGGTTTACCATATACAACATTCATATCCCGCTCGTGTAAGATCATAATACCGGGGGGCTATTTTACACAAAAATAAACATACGCGCGACATCTTCATACGTACATACAAACCCAGGTCCCAATTTACAGCGCAAAACTCTCCACATGCACCACAACGCCACCCAACTTCAAAGCGTTCCCGACACCCAACCTCGCGACCGCATTCCTCGTTTCGACTGACCAGACCTCTCCGGCCCACTCGCACACACTGCGACGCCACCTCCAGCGTGCGGCTGTGCTGCGCTGAATGGCTTATCCTCCTCCGCTTCAGCGGATTCGAAAGAACAGGGTCGCGAAAGTCCGGTGGTTTCACAGAGAAGTGTATATACAGGTGGACGGTCTAGTTTGACGTCGCTGTTGGGTATGAATGGTACAGCTTCGGGGTCACACAAGCATGTGACGAAGATGGAGAAATGGATATCAAGGGAGGTTCCTGCAGCGAGGATGGCAATCTCTGTCAGCATCTCTGCGAACCATGCGATGTGACCTATATATAAAAAACAACGCCCACGAGGAGTCAGAGTCAGAGAAGGTCGATCAGGATCCGAGAATCGGGGCAACACTCACCAAACGATCTGATATACCATACGAATTCGATCCTTCTCGTTCGTTCGCCGTGACGACGGCCAGCCTTGATACATCTAAAGACGATGTCGTCCAGAAGCCCGAGCGTAAACGTTGCTCCTGATCCGCCAGCAACCAACAGCACCGTCTCGTACTGTCCAAGGTCGACACTCGACCCACCATATGGACCATCAATCATGACGTGTATGGGTACGCAGCTCCGCTCGCCACCACTTTGCTTCTCTGATATGCAGACAGATGGGTCTTGTTCGTTATGCGCGTATGCGTTGAGTTCACGTGTCCAATCGCCGTTGACGCGTGCTGCGAGGATCATGCCGGACTGGTTGAAGCAGGACCTATTCGGAGGACCGGAGAGAATGGTGAACGGGTGGCTCTCGAAGGCGCGATTGGAGAAAAAGACACGGAGTTGGACGTGTTGGCCAGCCAACCATCCATCGTCGCAATCTTGGATATGAACCTTTTCATGGAAAGCCGGATCAATGATGTACGGAATACATGAAATGAACCAAATACTTACTAGTGTCATTAGTTGATCCGGAGCGCTAAGTTTAGCATCCTTGATGCGGTAGCGCAAGAAGCGCAAGAATGCGTCTGCCCCGAAGAAAGCGAGGGCCGGGAATATCCACGGTGCCGCATACAGCGTATGGTAACGAACGGTGACGAAAAACGCAACGAATGTCAGAACGCTGTGTGGATGTGCCTGTTTCAGGCACGGGCGTCTGTAACACGTGGTAGATCGGAACTCACTGGACCACGAAGAAAACCTGATAGAATAACCTCCGTACCGGGCGAAGCGAAGTCAAGACTATGATTCCGAGCACGGCTAACGTTGCTACGCCGGAAGTTTCCTTTTGCTGTCCGATGATCGGAAGTCCGTACTGCAAATGATTGCGTATCCAGAGTGATCCGTGGATGCATGCGGATAGGAACATCAGTCTTCCAGACATGCGGTGTATATAGTTAAGCTTCTCGTATCCGTTTCCGGGGCCTAAAAGGAGCGACAAGATAGAATTCTTCGTTGCAAATAAGAATACGATCGGGATCTGGGCTACCGCGAGGAAGCCTGTGCGGAGAGGACTGTCAGAGATGGGGTGGAAAACGTGTAAGTCGAAGGTGGATTGTACCAGCTCGGTTGGGGTTAGATACAAGAGGAGCATCTTTGATAACACAGAGCAAAACGACGGCGAGATATGCGAGAATGATTGACACTGAGACCGTACAATCAACTCAAGAACGTTACCAGAAACTAGGATAGACTCACTCTGTAAGATGTTTAACCCTACATACGGTAACGTCCAGTGTCGAACGGACGCGATAGAGTGCCAGACTGCCTCGGCGCCTCTCTTCGGCCGAGGTCGGGGTGGAGGTATATCCTCGCGAGCGACGGCAGCAGTATCCTCCCTTACCGAGGCATTCGGAGACGCCAAAGAAGCCCTTTAGCAAACGACCATTCCTCAAAGAACGAACCGAAGGTTGGGAGGGAGACCACGATAGCCACTCCGAGAGCGGTGCACACCAGATAGTTGTGAATTTGAGTTGCCATTCGGGGTCTACGGTATATGAAGCTGTGTGGAGGGGTTAGTTCTTCCTGTGAATGAGGATATTCGCGGCTTACTCGTAGATTTGGAGGCTGCTTGGGATCTGAGGAGGCAGTCCGGCCATTATTGATGCCAATCACTCTGCGAGGAGGGTCCCAGGGCACTCCAGAGTGATCCCGTCAGATTACATAAGCAGGGGTGACCGATCGAAGTCTCGGCTCCTGCCAAGCAAATCTCTTCGTTAGTGCTCTCCACGATGCACAACGCCCACCTCCTCCTCGTCGCCGTCTGCCTGTTGTACCGTGTGCAACCATGTCTTGCAGACAATGGGATGAATATGACCATGGACGGCGCCATGACACTCGCCGTGGGGAACATGCTGCCCTACCTCCACTTCACACTCGGGAACACTCGTCAGCTGCTATTCATTTCTTCACGATCTTTTACTAACATATATCGTAGTATGGTTCCTCGGATGGGTTCCTCAGAGTAGCGGTGCAATGTTGGGTGCTTGCATCGGTCTATTCTTGCTTGCTCTCCTCGAGAGATGGTTAGCAGCATGCAAATCAATCATGGAACTACACTGGAACAAAAGGTATGTACCCTTTCTCCACCTCCCCTGATATCCGTTCAACCGAGAATGTAGTGCGAGTCGCATGCTGGTCGATAAGCAGAACGCCTCTCCCGTCCCTAACCGCAATGCGGCCGATCACACTTTTAGACGACTGGCGCCTCCTTTTGTAGCCGCGTACGACCTGCCAAGAGGTGTCATCTATGCCGCACAAGCGCTCCTCAACTATCTCTTCATGCTGACAGTCATGTGAGCCACCATCCATCTAAACTTATGTTTTGGTTTTCGTCTGATTGTCCGAGCTATAAGGACGTTCCAGCTAGGTTACATATTTTCGCTCGTCATTGGCTTGGGTGTTGGGGAGATGCTGTTCGGACGATACACACTGTCGGCTCACCTCCATTGATATCTTAATTCAGTAGATTAGTCCTCGTGCATGTCTTGTGTATAATAGTGGAGTATACCATTAACATTATTTTACGGGGACGAAACGCAGGTACTCTACTGTAGTAGCGCGGCTCAAGCGCTCATGGACAATATGGGGTTCGGAGTTTCGCGGAGGAAATCAACTTTCTATGGAAAGCCGGACAATCATGCTCGAATAAGGAATGTCCAACGGCGAAATGCCCAACTCAAAATGGAGATGGCCGACGGCGGACCTCGATCACTCAGAGTACTTTTTTTTTTGCCATTGTCGTAATGAAAAATGAAAAAACACGCTTGTCTAAGTACTTTTTTTTTGGCCATCGTCATAATGAAAAAAGAAAAAACGTGTTTGTCAAAGTACTTTTTTTTTTTGGCCCATCGTCATATTGAAAAACAAAAAAACACCTTTGTCAAAGTACTTTTTTTTTCGGCCACCGTTGAATTGAAAAAAAAAAAAACACATCAACCTAGTGACAGCATTGTATATGTGGGTCAAATGGAATAGTATCAACAGACAATGAAAAGTATGTAGTACATTTTGTAGCCATAGGTAAAGAATTCACAGACTCACCTTGACATCACTTGCTTCATTGTCTGAACCAACATCGGAAAAGTGATCCACCCAGAGGAACACACCTGGCACCTCCATGTCATCTGCACCATCAACCTCTTCCTTGTCATGCTCAAGTTTTTGCAGGGCATGGACATGTTCTTCTTCTAAAGAGATGATACAGATCAGCCTTGTTTCTTCACTCTGACCATTAGTATATTGTGACTTACACAATCCCATCCCATTTCCAAGGCCACCCATATACTGATCATTCTTGATAAGGTCTCATCAGCAAAACACAAAAATGTGTTAGTAACTCATAGCTGCCCATAGTATTTGCACAATTCCATATTAGTCCAAAGCAATGTCAAGCATCCTAGCAACTTGTAGTGCCAGAGTAGACTACACCAGACTTGCCCAAAGTAGTGGCCAGCATCCAAGCAACTCATAGCACCTGAGTAAGCCACACCAGTGATACCAGCAATCCAAAGACCAATAGCTACCTAGCATACAAGGGAACAGACACACCTAGCTAATACAGCAACCTAGATTCCCACTGTAGTAGAGAACTTGGTAGATCTAACTTTGTTCCTATGGATGAAGGCAACAACACACAGACATAACATACAGCATTTTTCAATAAGTACAGGAAAGTAATGGATAGTACTAGTCTAGATGAATGGCAAGTATTTGACTACCAGCATGCTCAATAACTGTGCCTATCAAGATCCAGCATAAGTAAAATAGTGGCCCAAAAGAAAAGAGCAAGCATACCATACCATCAGACTCAAGAGATGGCTGCAGCTCACCAGCCAGAACACTAATGTTGAAAATAGGCTCCCCCAGTCCATGTTTTTTCATTGCTACACATAAGGTGTGTGGACCCCATGTAGTCCATTTAGTCACAACATATAGGTAGCCTGTGTGCCAAAATGCCAACACTTATATAGACCCTGTGATCAGCCTGTCTAAATAGATTAGCCATGACACATGGACAGGCCTGAGGGCCTATAGTGAGAGCAACATACATATGGGCCTGTAAACACAATTCCACAACATATGGGAGGGCCTGTGGAGGGTAAGGATGCTGCAACATATAGATGGGCCTGTGACCAAGTAAGTATGCTAAGCTACTGTAAGACATGGATGGGCCTGCCTATTGTATCATGAAGAAGGTTGCAACATATGGATGGGCCTGCCCATCATATGCTTTATAGGGTCACAACATAAAGAGGGGCCCATCTATGAAAGATTACAGAGTTGGCAACATATGGACAGGCCCAGGAGTAATATCATTTATGGTGTCGCAACATCTAGACAGGCCCATCCATAGCAAGATGTATGCCTGTTGCAACATAAGGACAGGCCCATCAGTAATATCATTGACAGTGTCACAACACATAGATGGGCCCATCTAGTAAGATGCATCCCTGCCACAACATAAAGATGGGCCCATCAGTAATATCATTTACAGTGTCACAACACATAGACAGGCCCATCAATAATATCAATCACACAGTCACAACACATGGATGGGCCTGTCAATAGCAACATGTATGCCTGTCACAACATAAAGATGGGCCTGTCAGTAATATCATTTACAGTGTCACAACACATAGACGGGCCTGTCTAGTAAGATGCACCCATGTCACAACATAAGGATGGGCCTTTCAGCAATATCAATTACATGGTCACAACACATGGATGGGCCCATCAATAGCAACATGTATGCCTGTCGCAACATAAAGACAGGCCCATCAGTAATATCATTTACAGCATCACAGCACATAGATGGGCCCATCTAGTAAGATGCACCCCTGTCACAACATAAAGATGGGCCCATCAGTAATATCATTTATAGTATCACAACATATGGAAGGGCCCTTCAGCAGTATCATTTATGCAGTCACAACATAAGGACAGGCCCTTCAGCAGTATTATTTATATGGTCATAACATATGGATGGGCCCTTCAGTAATATCTTTTATATTGCCATAAAACAAGGATGGGTCTGTCTAGTAAGATCCACCCCTGTTGCAACATAAGATGGGCCAACACCAATAGCATGTATAGTGTCACAACATATTGATTGGATCACAGCAAAATATTGAGGCAAGCATCCCAACATGCTGTAATTTTCCAACAAGCTGCAAGCAGCTTGCCCACTATACAACTCTGACCTCATCCACCCCAAGCATGAATACTACACAAGACATGTCTAAAACCCCCCATGGATGGCAAATGGAACTAACAGACTGCATTGTGTCATACATGAAAGCCAGATTTCAAGAGGAGGTATTCAGCAGACCTTGTGCCCTTCCAGATATATCAATTCCATTTCTGGTGTTATGTGAAGCAGATCACATATTGTCAGTAATCTCACAGGCCTATCATCACCCAAGTAAGTCCATCATAATGGTGTGATGGAAGTTTTCATCTTTCTGCAGTCAACATTGGGAAAAATTGGGGTGGAAAAACCTGCAATGCAGAAGCTGCTGAGAGATACATGGAAGTGACTGAGCCATCCATTCTGGTGACTGACTCAAACACCATCCACATTTGGTATTTGCCAGACACTCTCAGCCCAAAAAGAAGGGTAAGGGAATGCAGAATCTCATATTCTACTGACTTAATGCAATGGCAGGCTGATGTATGGAACCACCTTCATCTTCTGAGGGAACCACTGTGGGAGAGCATAAAGGCTTCCCCACAGGCATGGCAGATGGACAAGTCATATTTCTGCGATAATGCTGAGTTGAAAGGCACCATCAACCTGTCACCTGCATGGTTTCAACAGGGTCATGGGGTGGGTGATCATTTCTTTCCTTGTGAATAAAGCACTCATCTGTCTTGAAGCCCCAGAATGGCTTCCTGGAAGCCTCATGGCTGCTCAAATCCAGGATGGAAAACACTTCTACAAGGGAATGGGTCAACCAAATGTCCAACACCAATGCCCTGTTATCTGTGATCCTGCATGTCATCCATCCATGAATGTATGCAGATGGCAGGGAAGTGTTGATCCACCTTGGCAAACAGGCAGAACAGTGGTAGTTGGTCCCAGCTAAGGCCTGCAATTTCTCCTATCCAAATCTCTCCATCGGCATTTTTCACCAATTTCATGGAGTCAACCTTGCCAGTCCTTGTTGCTTTGGCCACTGTCTTTTTCTGAGCACATTTGGGACTTGACTCACCATCATGCTCAGGCAGTGTTCCTGGTTCCTCAAATGTTTCCCCAAGGTACTCTTGCCAGCTTCCTTCCAGTGTGCAGACATCATTGAAGGGGATTCCATCCATGATTTCATTATTGAAGTCCATACTGTCATTGCATGAGCCTTACCTAGGCCTAGAGGAGAATATGGTGGACTCACATGCATGCCTGTATAGTTCCCTCCTCATTTTTCCACCCAGCCATACACACTATGTGCATTCCACAATACCTCCACATCTCCATTGCAAAGTTTTGGACATACTTGTACCCATACTTGGCTGCATTCCTGGGAACCAGGATAAATTGAAGACTGGGAAGTTGACCTCATACAATCACACCTTGCTTTTGTCTCTGGCATGGGGCCTTCCTGCCCATTCCACCTTTCTGCTATATCTTCAGCTGCAGCCAATTGTTCCTCCATCAGGTCGTCCTGAATAAAAGCCATCAATGCATTCTGATACTGTTGGATCTGCTTGCTTCCATGGGTATTGCCTTCTTCTACTTTCATTTTTGCAAGCTTCTCCTGTATTTGCTCTTGGTACAATTCACAGACCACTGCCTGCACAGAGTATTTGTAACTGGATCTAAGGGTAATGTGGGGCTTCTTTGACTGGAGGGGCTTTTTCAACCAATCTTGTATTAGCTACAAGGGTGCTTTGAATTGTGAGCATCTGAATCAGAACTTTTAGAGCATACCTTGCACTTGGTCTGGACTTTGCTCCCTCTAAACTCCTTGTTCCTGTCCAATTGCTGCATCTCCTCCCATATGGATAGCAGAACTTCAGGCTTCTTCTTCTTCCTGCTTGCCTCCATTCCTGGTGTTGGCACCCAAGGATCTCCAACTCTTCCACTTCAAACCTTTCTTCCTCCCTTTCCCCCACATCTGATGGTTCTATGTCTTGCTCACCATCAGCATCATCTCTTTCCATCTGATCCCAGGCATCTGATTCATACTGGGACTCCATGGAGTATGATGTGGTATGATGTATAATGGTGTATAATAGATGGTTGGCTACTAAGTTTTTTCACACCCTTGTTTGGTCTCAATGCATTTCAGTACTAGTGTGGTCATGCCAAGGAATTTGTTTGGACCTCCATGAAGCGACTGAAATATCCAATCAGGCTGATCTCTTTGACAGGATCCCACCCAAAGGTGGATTAGCTCCTGGTTTGCATCTGGGCTGTCAGTTGGCTTTCCCAATCATATCCATACTTATATTGATACTGAACATCTTGTTTCACCTTCATCAGCTAATATAGCATCCAAATTCACCATCATAATCCAGGCAAAGCACCCAGGTAATGTTGCAGCA